GTGAGTAACTTACTTCGTGAACTTCATCGAAATTTAATTTATTTACCTCGTAAGCAGGCGTGAGCGAACATCCCATTAATGGCGCTCTTTGGAAACTTAACACTGTCTATTTTTCGTTGATATCGCCTTCTGTCAGCCGTCGATGTCTCCATCTCACCCTATGCCACTCTGTAAGAAAACGAGGCGTTGTTGGCGCTGCGCTATGAATATAGTGACCCTCCTTTTTTAGTGCCCTTTATCAATTCTTATCAGTTGTTATCGCTCCGAAGTTCCCGTTAACCCGCATACTTCTTGCTTCCGACGTTCTCCTTATACGGCAATGGGCGCTATGAATTTTGTGACAGGCAGACATACATACAGCCAACTGAGTGGCTGACAGACAGACAGCAGACAGACAGACGGACAGGCAGGCAGACTGACACACAGACACACAATTTTAGCGGATAATATGTAGTGGAATCATGTGTAAGTTGATCGTAAGACCTCTGGTCAAAAACAGTCATTGATTCAGTAGGGTGTCCGGGCCTAATGAGAGTTCACGGATCTAAGGAATATGTTTGCTGCACTACTGTCGTTCACTAACGTCCTTTACGCACTACTTCAATCAGCTAACCGTGAGATTCAATATTAAGTAAATTCTCCTCTATTCATTCTTCGAAACTATTATTTCTGAAATAAAAGCAGGATTTTCCAAAACACTGTCGAGTTCCCAATATTTAATAACATTTATCAGGCATTTCATCTGCGACTGAGATATTTCAGTTATTATAATTTCCCAAAGAGCTGCTGCACCTCGGTGAATGAGGTTATCTGTCATGGTATTCCAGATCTGCGAGTTCTGGAGAACGGTGATCTGTGTAATGGTGAGAACAAAAGTGTCCCTATTCCCCAATAATTTCCTTTTCCTTCGTGAATTTTCAATTAATGGAAGAGCATTGCAGTTGACATTACGGTATACCATCGCGGATTTCACGGGGATTTAAATGAGACTTTTCTCGTTGGTGACGCTGTCGATGAAGAGTCGCGGAACCTTGTCCGTGTCACGTATGAGTGCTTGCAGCAAGCCATCTCTATAGGTAATATTTTGAGTAATTACATTTCCTTTTTTCTCCAGCTTGGCGATTTCGGCAGTCAACCGGAAAGAGCATTTCATTTTCCATCCTTTTTTGCCGGTTTGATGAATACTTGGTTTCAGTCAGACCAGGTGTAAAATTTCGTGAAATTGGAAATGTGATTCAAAAACATGCTAATGCCAATGGTTTTTCTGTTGTGAAAGCCTACTGTGGCCATGGAATTCATAGGTAAGCTCTGAAGCGTGTTCAAATTAATATGCTCACCCCTCGCACGGGTAGTTTTGAAGATTCTGAAGTTGGTTCGATTTTGCTGGTTGGATGATCTCACCTGTTGCACATCGCTCCCTCCCATCAACCTCAACTTGTCTCTCAGATTACTATGGGGATCACGCTGGCTGGGAGCTGATTGTGAGGGAAAGAAAGCCGCTTGTGGGGCATGCAGTTGTTTATCAAAGCCTTGTTAAAAGAGGGTGCGCATCAGAACATAGTTATCGCATATTCTCCAGCTTCTCTCATTTTGTAACCTCGGCATGTTAGTTGTTCTTATTCAGTATGTTTTCTTGTGCCTCTCGAGGTTTTTAGGTGGAACAGTTTATTTTAGCGGCCTGACGTTTCGACGTAATCGTCTTTCTTCAAAGGCCTAAAAGTGTTTCGAGTTTTGAAGATGGCTTGCTGGGGTGGATTAGGCGCTTGGCAAAGTAGTACACATCTCTAAAACTCGAAACACTTTTAGGCCTTTGAAAAAGACGATTACGTCGAAACGTCAGGCCGCTAAAATAAACTGTTCCACCTAAAAACCTCGAGAGGCACAAGAAAACATACTGAATAAGAATAAGTATCGCAGTTCCACACTGAAAATAGGTCATCGCCTTGGCGATTGCGTGATAAGAGATGCTCACTGTGGCTTGAAGACAGTCCCCGCGCACGAGCTGGTAGGCATTCTTCCTTGTACAAGTAGTCTGGCCCTCAGTTCCGGGTTCATCATACTTTCGCGGCTTCACAGTGAGTGAATAGGTGAGTGTGAGTTTCCCATCAGTACCGGTAGGTCTCGGTAACCCATCAATGGTTGCGGCACGCGGCATGTGGGCTGATTGACCCCCACAGGGAATTCATATGAGGCCAGACATAGTGGGTTTGAAGTTTTTTTTCACCCGGCGAAAAAGAGTAGATGTTGCCGTTTACAATACCCTGATCCAGTAAAGTCACTAGGCTTAGCTTCAATCATGACCACTTTGTTATTTTCTTCATTGCAGATTGTTTCATACTGCTCCTAACGTGCCCCACTACGCAAGTTAGTTTTATTTTATTCATTTGTTATGCGTTAATGTTTACTAACAACTTGTGTGGAGTGTCAAAAGTAAGTATTTAACACTTAGTGTCGAATGTGGAACTTTTACATGGAACTCGCTATCATGGCTTGGAATTATTGGTACGAAGTGTACGTCAAATCTTTAGCTTAAGTGGCAGCTTTCGATATAAAGTTCAGTGCCAATTTCAATTTCATGATTATTTTGGCGTTGGTTTCGTGTAATCCAATTGGCTTTTCAAAGAGAAGGTTCAATTGAATCCATCATTTGGGAGGTCCCTCGAGGCTTCTTCTTCGATTTATCTGGGTGTTTCTCAGCAAATCGAACCATGATTTTTGGTCATCTTTGTTTATCCTGAACGCCGAGAGTTTTTGGTTTGGTGGTGGTAATGAAACAAGCCGGTAATGACTTTTTCATCAAGCTTTCTTCTGTGGAGATATGTGTGACGTGTGCGAAGGGTGGCATTTTGCTATAACTTCTCAAAAGTTAGTGAAAATTGAGGGGAACTTCATCTTTTTTTTGGGCTTGCCTAGATTTATCAGCGTACGCTGGCGAACAGAATAACAATGATTAATAACTAATTATTTCTTATGCATCTCTCTTAAGTCCTTTAGTTTTCTCGGCTTTGTGGGTGAATTACGGTTATATTTCATACGCATCCAGTGAGCGCTTATAGAGTTTCGAGAAGCTCTTACAGTATCCTGGAATGGGTAGCAGTTTTTTGTGCTCTGCGCTCCTATCCAGGGTTGTTGGATGATTTTCCTTCAACAGACATTTCACCCATTA